GAGTGCCTGGAATCTCTCAATAAACCCCAACCAGGAGCTCCTTGGGCTTGTCACAAAGGGCTTTGACATTGGAACTGTTCTCCACCCCCAGCACAGGTGGGCAGCACGGTGACAGCAAGGTACAAGAGCTGTGTCTTTGTTCAGCCAGGCACTGGAGCTCTGGAACAGCCTGCAAAGGTGGAGCACAGCTGTGTCCTGTGTCCCTTCCACTGCAGCTCAGAGGCTCTGCTGGCACAGGAAATGTCAGCATGATTACCAAAAGTGCAAATGCACATCCTTGAGTGAAGTCTGTCTGTTAAAAATGTTGCTCTGAAGCTTCCTCAGATCAAATTCCAGTACCTAGTGATAGGATATAAACAAAACATTGCCATGTGGGCACACCTGCTCTTACAGCTGAGCTTGAAAAGGTGCAGGGAAGATCCTATCAGGGAAAAAGTCTGTTCTGCGTGATGGATTGGTTGTTAAGCACCAGGACCTTGTGTCAGAAAGCTTCCCCAGATTTTGGAAGAGGAGGATGGTGTGTCCTCTAGCTGGGTAAGATGGGAGCTGTTCTTCCCCTTTGACCCTGAGGTGTTTAAACATTTATTGTTTTAACAAGTAGAAACTTACTTGGCCTGAATTGAGTAATCAATGCTTGTAATTCCTGCAGATTATGTACTTGCTCTCCCATTTCCCTGCAAACTGCCTCTCGTTCCTTTGTGCAAGACTTTCCATCTGCCCTGAGGCAATAAGAAATAAATAGTAGTTAGTATGCTTACAATGTAGTGATGGTACAAATACTGTCTAGACTTAAAAATCCAAGAGTTCATTTGCTTTGTACAGACTTGCTTTTGCTTACTGAAGTAATTAATGTTGCTGGCTTTCACTTCAGAGTTTTTTCCAGCTGTGGACATGGCCATCCCACTTCTGCATCGTGATCAGAGACCATTGCAATTCCTCATGCAAGAGGCAGTGCACCTAATCAAAATGTATCATTTCACCTCTTGTTGTGGGGAGGACTCTCAGCCTGATGCAATCTTACTTTAGAAGGGATTAGTGTGACCTTTGGCACTATTGCTGTATTAATGTAAATACAAAATGCTTAGCTTGACTGCAGGGAGCAGCCAGTGCTCGCCATCCACGTGAGATTAACTGCTTGGAGCATTTTTCTGGGACTAAACTGCTCTACCAGACTCTCACTAAGCCTTCCTTAGCGTGCAGACTGTGCAAGTGCTTTCTCCAAAATAAGTGGGTAGGATTGGTTTGAGGGCTTTTTCCAGAGGAGCAATTAATGCAGAGAAAATAATAAGGTGAAGGAAATGATTACCTTCCACATCAGAATAATATTGTGCCATCTCTTCAGCGGCTGTGATTTTCTACTGTAATTAAATAATAATATGCTAAATAATCTTTTAATCAGTTCAGGGTTTAATGATGCATGATTGAGTTGCATTCAGTATTTGTGCAGAGACAACACTGATGGATCCAAGTGCTTGTGTTGGTCTGCCACTGACAGTAATAGTCTGGACAATGCAGTTACACCTCAGCTTACCTTGCTCCTGTTCTAAATGTTACAGAGATTTTGCAGCAAGGTGAAGCCTGAGTTTAACCTCTGTTATTGTTTTATTTCTGCTTTTCTCTTTGTCTCATGAATCCTTTTGTCACCAGGGTTTGAGGTATGCACGTTCAAGGTGCTGCATTTCTTTCCACTCCGAGCTGTCAGCAAGGCAGGCTTTTCTGAGGGCTGAGCTAAGGGCCACATCGACACAAGCTGGCACAGACTGAGAAATTTTGCTGCCTTTTTTCCTCTATTTGGCCTTGGAGATTGGTCCACATGTAGGTTTTAGGGTTAATGTGGCATTTTTAGACAGGGTGTTTGGGGTGAACACTGAATTTCCTCCAGGCTGTTTCCCCACCCCCATCTGCACAAATTCCATCCCTGCCTTTTACTTTTGATATCTTTCTGAACCTGTTGTCCAAGAATCCACATCATTCATTTCTGAGCTCATTTATACTCTTTCTTCTCTATTTCCTGTGTCAGCAAATTTAACTGACTTCTGATTTCTCAGACTTTCCCATTTCTTGAATGCTGCCTTTGCCCGTGGGTGGGAGCCTCTGTTGTCCTGTGAGCTGGGAGGGTGAGGTGGGTTCTTTACTGCTGCTGATTTGTTTTCATTTGGAAATGTGGCAAACCCTTTATCCTTGTTAATGCAAGGAAATAAATGGCCAGGCATCCTTTAGGTTGCTGCCCCTTTTTTTGAGGTCTGCTCATCCTTGAGTGTCTGGGGGTTACACACAGGGCTTTTTTTTCCTGGTGGCTGTTGCTGCTGGGGTTCTTTTCTTCATGTTTTCCTCATTTTCTCTACTTGCCTCACGCTCCTACCTTGACACCAGTTATTTATGTATTGGATTTAGTTGGTTGTTCTCTCTTGCTGCAACATTAAGTGGAATAATATTGGAATGGCTGCTCCAGAGAGGCTTTGTCAGTAAGAGCCCCTGCTGCTGAAGGCCAAACTCTGCCTTTCATGTCCACTTTTGAGACCAGTTGTATGAAATGCCTCATTTTCCTGTGGAGTGATGGGCAAATGGAAGGTGAACAAGCCTTGCCTTTGAGGAGTGCAGGGGACAGGCTGCTCAGGGTGTGCATTTTGAAATGGTTTCAAGGATATGGCTTTGTGTGCTGCAAGTTGAATTTATGCTTTCATAAATTAAAACCTTGCAAGAGTTTGAAGAAATTTACATGAATTTCCCTGAAAGTAGAAGGCATTCATGTTGATTCCTTTGCACATTACTGAAGTAGTAAATCTCTAATAAAAGGGTTTATGGGAGGAAATGCAGATATTTTATTATAGTCTATATATATATATGTTCCCTGTTCTGTCGTCTTTTGGAATTTGTCTTGCAGAACAACAATTTCATAAATTATTTGAACAGAAACTTGTACGTTTGCCTGGGCTAGGGGGAAACAAAATGAACAGAATTGCATATTCTACAACATTTTTTTGTTAATTGAGTGTGACTATAGAAGTTAATTATGGGAAGCACAGCTTTAGGATTCATCCTTGTTGCTTGGCTTGAGTTCCTCCCTGCTCTCAAAGCCAGGATGTTCCTAATTCTGGGGCTTTCTGAACTTAGTTTTATAGGATAGTGTTGCTGAAAACACTTTCCATCCATCTTAATCACAAAGGTTAACAGTTATTTGTCTTTGCTTGCTGAATTTCTTTGTGCTTTTGAATTCCAGACAAAAGTAAACTTTTGCTACGTGGCCACGCATTTAAATATTTTCAAATTGCTGCCAACAGTTAAACTTGCTGTTATGCTGCCTATTTATGTACCAGCTGCTATTCTTTTTATGAACAGAATGACCATTTGCATCCTCCTCATTTATTTTTCAGTTCCAGCATTTTCCTTCAGTGCTGTTTGTCCCCCTCTCCAACTCCCCAACAGCCCATAAAAATATTACAGTAATTCAAGTTCTTCAGTTCAAGCAAAAATGTGTGCTTTGATCATAATATCAAATGATTAAACTAATGCAACCATAACCTAAAAGCTTTGATAATTTGTGTTATTCGGAGTGTTTTAGTGGTTGATTTCAAGGTTAACTCTCAAATGGGAATTTAAAAGCTACAAGGATTCTGTGGTCAATATAGATTCCCACCCCAGTTGAATTAAGCTTTAAAAACTTCCACTGTAATTCTAGGATTACATGATTAGTAGTTCCTTTGGTAGCCAGTATAAAGTGGATAAAATTGAAAATAAAATCAAGATAATGGCTGCTATAAAGACAGCTCTATTGGTGCCTTATGTATCCGAACACGCTCGTGAAATCAGTGTTATGGCTGATGGGAGTCGTTACTTACAAAGAATAGAAAATTGATTTTCTTCTGGGAACAGCTTCCTTATTTACCAGATTTTTATTTCCTGGGTGCTGGTTTTCAGCCCATCCTGACTCAATTTCCTTCTGCTCTTGAATCTCATGGAGTCACGGTGCCATTTGTTCTTTAAATAGCACTGATTTGTTCAGGAGGAGATGGAGTGGGAGAGAGGCTTGGCTTCCAAAAGGCTGAGGAGGAACTCAAGTCAAATTGCTTTTTATGATAAAAACAAGACTGACAAACGGAGCTCACGGATTTTGCCATGAAAGTCAATATTCCGTGTTCAGATGGTTTGAATTCCCCAGCTGGATCAGGAATTTCTCTGCACAGGCTCTGTCACTTCTCACCCAGAGCTGGAATTTCTGTGTGATGTGGGATTGCTTCACCTTCACAAGGGTGCTGTCATTTTTTTGCTCACAGGATGTATCAATTAGGGGTTGTTTAATCCAAATTAGCATCACAGTGCTTTTCTTTAGAATAGCTTGTCACACAGCAAGCTGGAGTTCTTTACAATCCCCTCTTTTTTGTTTTTTAATTAGTGTGCCGTACTTTGAGTCTTTACTTCCTTTTGATTATCAGCAGCTTTTATTATTCAGACCTACCTTAGCTATTAACACAGCTCTGGGGCCAGAAATCAGTGTAATCTCAATGTAAGAAAAATATTTCATTTTTTTCCCCCATGTCTATTCTTCAAATCATTCCTGTAACAGAAACGTGCATTAATAAGATCATTCATTTAACCAAGTACATGCATTAAGAAGATGAAATCTCTTTGAACTCTAGTTAGTTTTTAATCTTTGAATTAGATTTAAAAGAATATTAGAAATAATAATATTAGAAATATTGGAATTTTTGCCATAAATTTAAATAGAAATGGAATAATTTGAAGTAATGGTAGAATTAAGTGGTGACATTTCAATGTTAAATATGATGATCTGGTATATTACAGTAGATATTTTCACTTCCTTTTTATGAAGGGAAAGATTTTTATGAGCAGTAATTCAGAAAAATATGAGTCTACTTAACAGAATCATTCTCTCTCAGACCATTTATACTGACATTGTTTTTTTTTTTTTCCCCCATTCTGATACCCTTTTTGGAATCTGGAAGCTTTATAAACTCTTTTTTTTTTTTTTTAACCCTCAGTTTCAGCCCAGACTCTGAAGAGCAACCTGGATTCGATGAACCAGCAGATCCAGCGCCTGGAGAAGGACATCGAGAACTTCCCAAAAACCCAGGACGAGCACGATAAGTTTGTAGAGAAGATGAGCATATCCTTTTTGCACATCCTCACTGCTGATCTGAGCATTCTCATCCTCTGCTTAAATATTTGCAGCACTTGAAAATAGGTTTTTAGTCTCCTTTCACGCATTTCTTCTAGAGCAGACAAAAAGCATCAGTGGACGTGGTGAATGTAAGCAAACAGAGAAATAAAAGCATCAATAATCAGATTTTCAAGGGATACCCAGACAGCTTTCCTGAAGGCAGTAGTTACAATGAGCAGCCATAAACTCAGTATGGGGATTTTTGTTCTGTCAGAAAGAATTATTGAATCGATTTTAGAAAAATACCAGCAGTAAAGTTGACTAAATTGACTAAAATTTATTATTTTAGTTCCAGATGTGGTGTTTTTTAAAGGGCGGAGTATTAATTTGGTTAGTGGTTTTAAGTTAGATTTTTAACATCATTTTAGTGGAATATTTATATTTGTTTTCACTCAGAAGTGTTATGTCCTTTAATTTCTGTAGAGACTGTGGATTCTCTGCCGAGTGAAATCTGTGGGGGACTGTAATGTGATGTTGTCTAGCTTGTTTCTGTAAATCCACCTTTCATTTGGTTCAAAAGTCAAAAGTGACAACTCTACTGAAGACACAAGAAGCTCACAAAAATGCAGCAAAGACTGAGAAAAATCCCATTATTAAAAACCAGCAATTCCCAGGTTTTTATTGTGCTGAAATCCCAGCAGTGAGTGGAAATACGGGAGCGTTTGGAGTGTGGTGCGTGGGCAAGTTCAGGCATTTTGTGCATTTCCAGAAGCTCAGGTAGCTCCTGGGATATCTCTCCTTTCTTGCAACAGAAGTTGTGGGTTTGGGGGTTTTTTCAGAGGAAAGAAAAAGGCTGGGATTGATGTTTAGCTCCATTCACAGCTGCTCATCACGTTTGGAAGGTGGATGGAATGAAGATTTCTCCCCGCTGCTGTGGCTGTGCAAAGTCAGTTTTTTGTAGGATTTTACCATCTGAATGGAGTCAGTGACAGAATTTCACAAGTAGATATTTAACATCTCCTCTGTATGGATTTATTTGAAGTTTCTGACAAGGCTGCTGGAAAGTAGCTTAAGGGAGACAACTCCTGACAAAGTGGAAAATTGTTTCTTATTCCTCACATCTTCCCTTTCCCCTTGTCTCCCACGCAGGGTTAAGAGACCTGCTGCTGGTAATCACTTTTTTCAGTTCTGCTATTAAAGAAAGCTCATTATTATTTCCCTGGGATTCATTCACATCAGAAAAACTTTGAATATTGCCTTTTAATTGTCCTGTCCTGTGCAGAGGCTGAATTCTGTCACATTGGCCCCACTTTTTTTTTGTAAATTAAACCAATTTATGAAATGCACCTTTTACCACTGTTTTTTTCCTTCTTAAGTTTGACAGCTTCTCTTTCCAGCTCACAGAAATTATTGTTCAGTTGTATTTTCATTTATCTGCCTGTGTGTTTACTTAGAGATGATTAGCATCACTCAGATGATTTGGGGAGGAAAAAGAGCCAAGTAAATAATATTTAACATTATTCTCTCTGCAACTTATCACCTGAATTTCTTAGAGAAGAAAAAGTTGGTCTGACAGTGCAAAAGGGTAAAAAAAATATGTACTGATGTTTCATTGTATTGGCAAGTACAGGAGGCAAATAGATAGGAGGAAATGTTGGAAAATGAATTATTCCCTGTGGCCTGGGCAGCCTGGCTCCAGTGCATGGATGTTGATTCCCAGGTAGATTCCAGGTCCTGGAACTGAAGCAGAACCCCAGATCTGTTCATCCCTGCCTGGTTTAGCAGCCCTGGGGGATTGACAGGAGAGGCAAGGCTGGAATCAATGAGCTGATTCCACCTGGGAGTTGTGTTTGCCCCGTTAATGGGTTAATGACAAGTGGGCTGTTTCTGTTTCAGAAAGTCTCCTCCCCTCAGATCAAGTGATCAACTTTGTTTCTGTTATCTCTGAATATTTCAAGGTTTTCTACACTGCTGTATTTTTTATTAGATTGCAGAATAATTTTGCAGGGTGTAAAAATGACTCCCTAGTCTGCAGTATCTATTTCTTTGACTTCCTCACTGCCTGAAGATTTGTTGGCAATGGCACATCCTGAGATTAGAAAGTTACAGAATTTCAGGCTGAACATCTCTGAGCGTTTCAGAAAATTTGAGATGTCTCAGTAGAGTTTTAGGATGCATCAATTATAATATTCAAAGCATAGTTTCTACTCCTGTCATAAACAAAGCTATTCACCAGTTGTTGAGGATGAGACTTTCTTCAGAGGATGTGAGGATGATGCTGCTTGGAGTGTCACATTAATGTAGGAGGCCAGTGACAAGAAAAATACCATTCATAATATGAATTTGTATTAATGAAATTAATATGCAAAATACAGAAGCAGTTTCTAAGCAAGATAATTTTTCCCTTCACTTAATCAGTTTTTTATTTAGCACATACAGTTCTTCATCTCAGTGCAGTGTGGCTGAAGAAAATAAAGGGATTAAAATGCACCTTCTTTGAATTTCTTGCTGTATTAAATAACTTACATGTGATCCCTGAAACAACTTTTTCATGATCTGATCCATGTCTGGAATTGTATTTTACCTGCAGATCAATTTGAAATAATTCAGCTTTAAGTGGGAGAGGTTTCTTTTATAATTATCCCTTTGCATTCAGCACTGGGGAGTCTGATTCAACAGTTTAGAAAAGTAATTACAGACTGTGCCAAATCTGGCTTTCACTCCTGGTTTTATTTCAGTGTTTGTGCCTCCAATTGAAGATCTTTTCTAAAGTGCAGAACTCTGAATTTTATATTTGCTTGCTGTAGGTGCACAGTCTGATTTCAGTGATGTTAAAACATGAGTGTCTAGCTGGGGATTGAGAAAGGTATTCAAATTAATGGAGTTCCAATGTAAATGTTATTAACAGAGATTAAAAACAACTGAATTGAGAAGCAATTTCAGAGGGAACAAATGGAAATTTGTAGAGTTAACATTAATATTGATTTAGGACTATAAATACATGAATAATAAATACCACTTCTCTCTCCCTTCCAGCATGCACACACACTGAAGTTTATTCCTCCAGAAAACAATTTATTCCTCTAGAAATAACCAGGAGCTTTGAATGCTGTTCCAAGGGGCAGCAGGGCACATATTTGGTCACTGGGTTTGTGCTTTTTGTCATCCTGCTACCTGGACAAGAATAACTTGGGCTGTGTTCTTCTAATATATAAAATTATTATTATATATTCTTATATATATATGATATTTGGTTATGTTATTATTTATGTTTTATAAAATATCTGACATGAATTTATCTCTCCAATGTGTCCCCCATGAATTGGTGTTTCCTTTAATGGAGGCTTTATTTGGTTTTTCTGCTTTTCACCTGGATCATTTACCCCAATAAGAGACATTAACGTGCCCAAACTTACTGAAATCTTGTGCCTACCAGAGCCATCAATGCTGCCACGTGGGTTTTCTAAATGATTGCATACATGTAAAGAATTAAAAGCTCATTTTTAAAGCATTGCAAAATTAAGGAAATGATGAATGAAAGAGCAAAAATTACTGCAGATAAAAAAAAAAAATTCAAAGCACTGTGCATTCATCTTATCATTAAATGGAACAGCAGCAATTTGTGAACTAATTTTAATTTCCAGCAAGGAACACCATTCATTAGAAGAGAATCCTTTTTATGGAATAGAAAAGCTGCCTTCCTGAAAGGCATGTATCCTCACTCGATGTGCATTTATGCTCCCAGCTCTATCTGGTAACCACTGCAGCCTCACAGCGGAATGTGAGGGGTTTATTTCCTCACTTGATGCACTTCAGTTGTACAGAGATGATCTGGGGACAAATCTGGGGACTTTGGGGTGGGAATGTTCAGGATTTAATGTGCATTAAGCATCAGCTGCTGATTCTCCTGTAGAGTCTCTTAGGGCAGCCCTGGGGAAGGAGCAGACGTTCCCAGAGCAGGGATGCACGGATCCAGGGGATCCCAGCATCCAGAGGGGCTGGGAGCTGGCTCAGAGGCAGGACAGCAATTCCCCCCAGAGCCAGGGACAATGGCAGGAACACTCCTGGCATCTCCCAGCCCTGGGCATTGCCTCCTGCCTTCTCAGGGAACAAGAATTCCCATGGTAATAATAATTCCCAATAGCCTCCTTTGGAGCTGGAAAGCAGCAAAGCCTGGTTTTGGAACTTGGGATGTGCTAGTGCCTTCATTTCTGCAGGAAAATGTACATTAATATCTGAATTTGCTCATGAGCAGGGGATTCTCACAAATAACCCCACGGGGGAGCATTTCTGGGAACTTTGTGTATGTCCCTGCATTTGATGTAACTGCCTTCTGCCTATTTTATTTAAATGTGGTTTATTTAAATGTGGTTTTCAATGGCTTTGGGAACTGGAAGAGAGAACCATTCAATGATTTTTCAAATTTCAGGTCAGGTAGAAACCTGTATCTGCCCTTTTTTGCAGTATTTATATAAAGTTTTTGTTCTCTGTACAAAAATGGCATTTGAAAACAGTTTAATTTGCAAGTGCAGCTCTTGACTAAAGGAGAATTATGGTTATTTATCCATATAAAATATTTCTCAGTATTGTGTAGGGAGAGAAGTCTCCTTTCCTGCTTCTGGATGGAGCATGGATTATTTCATTTGTTACATTTGAAGTTGCTGTTACATCATAGAAGTCATCAGAGCATTTTCTTAGAGTCTTGAGCATTTATTTCAATTTATTCCTTCTTACAGTTCAAAACAAGCTTTAGGGGACAGGAGAAAGTTGCAGCTGTTTAAGTTGAAACAATGATGAACTTGTTGAAACTTTAGGATTTGCTTAATATCAATAAATAATAATGAGCAGTAGGAAGAAACTTCTATTTGCTATTGATTATTTAAGACTTGGTCATTTCTGTAGCTTTTTGTATTTAAGTATGAGAAATTTTTGTTTCTTAAAAAAATGAACTTGTGATTAATTTAACTTTGTTAGCTTCATACCAGAAAACCCCTATTTTTTTTCTA